CCCCCCCCCCCTCCGTGGGTTTTGAAAATGCCTCAAGTTTTTGGGCCTAAGTTGGAATTGTTTTATCAATTATCTTTCCACTACGAAGTGTGGTTACAGACTTTACCTGCTCGTATATAGCATCAAATGTACTAGAATCACTCACATTAAACTGACCTTGTGGATTTGGTTGTGGCTGTGCCAAAAACTTACCTTTTTCTTGATGACAAAGAGCAATGGTCAATTAAGTGAGAGTGTTTGTAATTTCATTAATAGCCTGAGTGGTTTGATTATTAAAATTTTTTTGACTTTGCATAAATTGTGAAAATACCTCTTCAAAGTTCTTCTTTAGGGGTAGAGTGTAAGAAACAAAATTAGAGATCATCTGTTGAGGTGGTTGTGATGCATGATTTTCACCCCTCCAATTGAAATTAGGATGATTTTTCCACCATGGATTGTAGGTATTTGAATATGGATTATTGTAAGGCTTTGAAAAGTTATTTGCAGCATTTGTTTGATCATGTAAAAAAAATTTCAAAACAAGAATTGTGGGACACTCCTTTATAGGATGTCCTAGGATCTCACAAATATCACAAATTTCTTCTAGAGGGACAACCTCTATCTCATTAACCTTATTATATTCTATGGCTTCAACCTTTCTTGACAACGTGGCAATCCTAGACCTTAGGTCATCATCTTCCCTCAACTGATATTTGCACCCACTCAATGGGGCACTTGCAGTTTTATTTTTGGAAGGCTCATGAGATGAGGTATCTCAAGACTGTGCATTCTCAGCCAAACGATCCAAAAAATCAACGGCCTCATTAGGTTCTTGATTCATAAAATCACCATTACACATCATCTCAACGAATTGATGCAATTGGGGAGATAAACCTTCATAAAAAAAAAACTTAAAACATGTCAATGCTCGTAACCATAATGTGAGCAAGGTGCAATAAGATCTTTAAACCTATCCAACTTTGATAAAAAAATTTACACTCTTTTTGTGAAAAAATCATGATTTGATGTTTAAGAGAGTTTGTTCGATGTGTGGAAAGAAAAATTTTCAAAAGTTGTTTTTGCATCTCTTGTTAGGTGCCTATGGATCTAGGTCTAATAAAGTGTAACCAAGTCTTAGCCATTTCTTTCAGTGCAAAGGAGAAAAATTTTAACCTAACTGTACTCACCGTAACAGTCTGATCATGGAAGGTGGTGCATACCTCCTCTAAATCTCGAATAAGCAAATAAAGATTTTCTGAGTCCATGCCATGAAATTTTTGAAGTAATGCAATCATGTCAGGTTTGAAAATAAAATTTGAAGCCTACAATAGAAATATGATGCATGAAGGTGCAGTGTGTTGTGCAGGTTGAAAATCTTCACGCAAAGTCCCAACCCTGATTGACATGCATATTATCAACATCATTTTCATCATGATTACTTATTCTATCATTAGAATCCCCTTGATCAGGAAAATTATTTCTCCTATTGTTAGGAGGATTTGCAACCATCGTGTGAAGTGTGTGAGATGATTCAGGTGAGTCAAATAAATTACCAAACAAATTGTTTAAATCTTTCCTAATTAATCGTCCACTTGAACCATGATGCCAAGAGCTCATAAAATAATTAAAAGCAACGAGTAAAAACAAAAAATAAAAATTAACTTGCAAAAAGTAATAAATTTCAGCAAAAGAAAAATGGAACAAAGTTACTGGATCTCCAACAAATTGTAAACCACAAAACCCCCAATGAATGTAACAGTGGCTCCTTGTCTTTCAACAGCTTCCTCGGCAATGGTGCCAAAAACTTGCTACAACGTTAATAATGTATACCCAAGCGTAGGTTATGCAAAGTAATAAATTCTACGAGGTCAAATCCTCAAGAAATTGTGAAAACAAGAGATACAAAACAAATAAAAGGAAATTGTTTGAAATTTGTTTGAATAGAAACTTTATCCAACAGAATAAGAATGGTTGGTTAAAAACAATAATTAAAAATACTAAGGCATTAGAGATATCTTATCAAATCTACACGGCAATTATTAAAGACCCAATTTCAAACTCAATTAAGAATTAGCTAAGGAGTGATCCCAATTGAAATATTTAGCAGTAGTGATATAAAAACACCAATAGTTATAACCATGAAACTATCTGATTAAGCTCAAGAATTCAACCGTAGATTGCAAACATTTACTGTGACTTGATTTTACGATGAATCAAACTATCCAGCAGGTGAACCCTAGACATATTGTGCATAACAAACCGATTATCTGATCAAGTGGATGATATATGTTGTGTTTGCGGCGGTGGTAAGGAAAATCTTTTGCACGTTATGAAGGAAAGTGTTTGGGCTAAGATTTCATTTGGTGCAATATCCATCTTCCCACATAAAATAATGGTTGATGGATATGTTGCAGCAAAGAGGTTTTCCCCAAACCCAGTCCCCTCAAATCTTAATTCCTCAACCCAATCAATTTTAAACTTATTTCTCAAACCCAGCTTTTTTTTTAAAAACGTCATTTGAAATAACGCCTTCAGATGTAAAAACGTCATTTGAAATGACGCCTTCATATGTAAAAACTTCATTTGAAATGACGATTTGAAATTGAAATTTTTGTTCTAAAAACATCATTATAAATGACGTTTTTTAACATGAATATTTACACGGCAGCTAACGGACGTGAAATAACTAAATGGGTAGAAAACGTCATTATGAATGACGTTTTTAATATATCTACTCCCTTAAAAATTCCCAAATCACAGCCATGTTAAAAATTTTCAAACATTTTCACCTCTCCTCCTCCACAAACGATTGTGACCTCTTCTCCTCCACAAACAACTGTGACCCCTCCTCCTCCACCAAACACCGAGATCTTCTCCGATGAGCTCCAACCAGTCAACGGTTGTTATCTCCGACGAACTCTACATCCACCAAGTCAGCAACTTGATAGAGATCCAGCCTTTTCATCCACTGAGATCCAGCCTCTTCATCCAACGAGTCAGCGATTTTGCCCTAAATAGATCCAAAACACCGGGCATGTTATTATCAAACTTGAATAACTCAATTTTGACATGATGCCTTGACTCTGTCTGAAATTCCACAAAACTCTTGCGAAAAAACTAGTGGAGTTGCACCCTAGGCTACTGAAAAAATTTCAAGTTTATGCCCTATTTTTGTAGATGACAGAGCTTTAGGGGTCAATCGCAAATATTAGCTGATGCTGGAGAAGGTTTCCAAACTAAATGGTAAGAATTGATCCCAGTTTGTGTCAGTTTTGCTATATTTTTCAAGTGGTAAGAATTGATCCCATGTAGCACCCACTAAATGGTGATCAAAATTCCAACTAATTCCAAATTTTAGATTCACAGGTGCACAATTTGTTTTTCCCCTTTGTTCCCATGGTCTTGTTTGTAATGTAGGAATGGAGAGCTAGGCTACTTATGGAGCAGTCCTGTGCAATCAAGTGCCCATCAATTTCTTATCAATTAGTTGGTACCAAGAAGATTCAACAAGAGCTTGCAAAACCCAATGTACTTGAAAGGTAATAACCACCTTTTTTCAGTTGGGTATGATTATCATTTCTGTAGAATTAGGTTTTGGTTGTACTTGAACTAAATGTTTGTTGTCATCCCACTTCGGGGAACAATATCTATGGAGATGATGTAAGGGAAACCCTCCTAAAATTGCAGAAGGAAGGGACTGAAGCAAATGCTGCTTACATCCTCATGCAAAGAATTTTTCCAAACATATTTCCTTCTATTCTGATGACGAATGGTATCTGTCATAAAGATCATGCCATATCAGAACTTGGTATATTTGGTGCTTACCTAAGGTAACAAGAGTGCGTCATTGCTCCCACTACCAATGAACTTTTCATGCACCATAACATGAAAAACTCACTCTCTCTCAATCTCAACCTCAACCTCTTGACATTTCAAATGGGGAGACAAGTTCATAGGAAATGCATTTACTTCCTAAATCAAGTTTCAATATTCAAGTGAGAGAAAAGGGGGGGAGTGTAGAGCTCCAAATCTATGATGGTTGGTCAAGCTTTTTTTAACAAAGAAGGAAAAGCCTGTCTGCTGACTCTTCATTTTATGAACTATCAAATCAGTTTCCAAGGTTTAAAATTATACTTGTAATATTGAGTGTTATTAACACTGCTTAGTATATGTTCCTAAACTAGTAAGCATTTGAATGTGCAGGAACAAAGATAATAGTGATTATGATTATTACCATTGTCTATTATATATTTATAAATTCTTGAGCATTTGAATGTGTAGGAACAAAGATAAAGTTATTATGAACGATCACTCTGGTTACTTGATGCGTACAAAGGTCTCTTCCTCGAATGAGGGAGGCGTTGCAGCTGGATATGCAGTTTTGGACAGTATATATTTGGTTTGATGGAGTGTTTCTTCAATCTGGACAGTTTGGGTTCCAATTGTGTTTAATACCGTTCGGCTAGATCTCACATTTTTTGAGCTGAAATGGAGACATATCTGTTGTAGTTTTTCTTTCTTTCTTTTCTTTTTCTCTGTTCTTGTTTTTTTTTGTTCATAGGTAAAATGTGGAAGTTTGTTTCACATTCAAAAAGATTCGTCCAAGTACAGTTCTTGTAATGTCTATTTTGCTTTTGAAAAATGTGAATCTTTCGAAAACTCGCTGGCAAAGTCTGAACTAATGTATGTTTTTTCATAAAAATCCCTTAGTTACAATGAAATAAAAGCCAAAATTGGAGTCGTGACAGAGATAGCTAAATAAAATCAAGAAGAGCTCAGTGGATCACTTGAAAAACCCTTCTTGTATGAACTTTCAACTGAAATTGCGAGATGTTTAGTTCACCGCATCAGTCTTTTTTGTTCTTTTTAGCGGATTTTGTTTTGAACTGCATTTTCCATTTACGAATTTTTGCTTTGTTTCTAGTTTGAACATATGACTTGACTATATAATGTCAACTTGCTTTCATGTTATGCTACTTCAGGCTAAGAAGACATAACATCAAAACGAAGTTTAGAATTCTGACCGACACAACTGAATTTTTCGCCCTGTCAAGAAACAATGGCCGCTTTTTTTTTCTTTTTTCTTTTTTCTTTTTTCGCACGCAGCTGTTTGATTTAATGAGACTCTCATATTCTTCAAGAAAAAGTTTGATCTTGGCGTTGACATGTATTTTCTCTCTCCAACGACCAAATACTAGTGGAGGTATTCAGGGAAATCAATCTTCAATGTATTTATATTGAAAAATATTCTCTTTTAAGTCATTATACGAAACTATGTTCTTGTACTGCGTATTATTGTATTGCAATTGTTATGTGAAATAAAAAGGAAAAAAGCAAGTTGTTGAGTTTAAATATTCTTGAAGTTATTGTCTTTTGATTACAATGTTTTTTTATTAAATATATGTTTTACAAATATGTTTTTATATTGAAAAATATGAAATTAAATTATGTTTTTATGAATTTTATTTTTGATTATAAAATAACTTCAAAAATTTTTTGAAAAGGGAATTAAATTCTAAAATTTATTTAAGTTCTTTTTTTTTTGTCCGGTGAATCATGATGTGAGATATAAGGTGGGGTTATTTAGCTTTTATAGAAGTTATTATAAGTTGGTGGTGGGAGACTTTTGACTAAAAAATACGTCAATGTAAAAGGTTAAGGGATAGAAAACGTCAATATAAAGGCTAAGAGGTAAAAAACGTCATTGAACATAAGAGAATAAAACGTCATTGTAAATGACGTTTTTGAAAATGTCATTTAAAATGACGTTTTTAACTTTTATTTTTTTAAACGTCTGGTAGACTTCATTAAAAATTTTTGTTACAAAACGTCATTATAAATAACGACTTTAAAAACGTCATTCTTAATGATGTTTTAGGAAAAAAAATATTCATGTTCAAATCTTTATTCTAAATGACATTTTTAGGGGAGAAGTCGTCATTTTAAATGACGTTTTTAAAAAAGGACTGAATTTGAAAATTAAGTTTAAAATTATCTGAATTAAAGAAATAAGTTTTGAGAGGGACTGAGTTTGGGAAAACCTCCTGCAGCAAATGACAGCCCATCAACTCTCCCTATTTCTTGTTCATTACTGGTTCATTTGGAAAAACAGGAATGAACATGTAGCGAAAAAGGGTCGTGTCCTGCTTTGTCGAACATGTAGTTCGTAGACCTTAAAAAATTGGGTAAGGCTACCGTGCCATCACTAAAATTCATCTCACCACTTGATTTTATTTTAAAAGATGTAAAAAAAATTATTAAAAAAAATGCATTTTTAGTTATATTATATTTCCATTTTATTAACTAATAATTTAAAATAATCTACCAAAAATTAATAAATACAAAACAATTTTAGGACAACACCTTGTGGTATCATAGCCTTTATCTTATCTTAGAATTAATAATAATAGTTCCTATAATGCTGGCTTCACTTCTAGGATGAACTAGAGGAGCCTCACATTTAAGGGTATCAAAATATCATAAGATTTATTAACATGACACGAATATCATATAGAGTTAGAAGGTTTGAGTCTTCTTTAACTCACCCGTTTCATAAATGAGATGATCCATCACAACACGATTAATAAACCAATCGAATATGAGTGAAGTCAATTAAAAGAAATATACAACACGACTCGTTTATATACTAATTATACACGATACAAACTCGATATAACACGAATTAATAAACGAATCAGATATGAGTGAAGTATATTTTTTTATAAACACTTGTTTCATTCAACACGATTAACTGATGTATTCACGTTAATATGAGTTCACCCAATGATCCTGATTAAGTGATTGTGAGCTGGTCGCTTTTGTGTTTGTTTCTATAACTACAACAACTACTTGTACTCATGGGCTGAACTAGCTTAAAGCCCTTGCCCCCTAAACTTTCCGAATACATGTGCAACGTATTAATTTGATTATGTATACTCTATTTATTATTAATGTTATAAACAAAAATCACAAGCAAAATAATAACGCGACAAAACAAAAAAAATAGAACACAAATATTTATGTGATTCGGCGGAACAAACAAGCCTACTTCCACTAACGAAACACAATGACAAAAAATTCACAATTGAAAAGTTGGAGATTACAAAGTTCATTCTTGATAAAAAAAAAAAAAAAAAAAAAAAAAAAAAAAAAAAAAAAAAAAAAAA